ATTCCGCAAGTATGCTTTCTGATGCATGGCTTTGATCACATCACTTTTTCACTCAAAAATCTTCAGTGGCTACTTCTTGTCAACATGATACAAACTCTATCCTACTGAGGCCCTCCAACCTAATCTCATGTTATTCCTTCACTTGCTCTTTATTTCAGCAACACCGGACACTCATCTCTCTCCTTTCCCACATTTACTCTACACTTTCTCTTTCTGTTCATGCTCATCTCCACCCAAAATGGTCTGTCTTATCTTAAAATACTTCTCTACCTTCAAGGTTCAATTCTAAAGCCAACTTTAATTTGATTGTGCTCTAGACTGCAACCTGCTGAGTGATGGATGTCTTCTAAAATTTCTCATATCACTTTATTTGGTCTTCTTTACCCTTAGTTCATTAATTCTGCCTAATATTATAACTATTTCTGTGCATTGTATCCCTGCTTTATTAGTTTGTAAGTACATTTGAGGGCAAGACCTATAACCTATCTTTGTGTTTCTACCATCCTGCACAGGGCCTTGTATATATAAATGGCACTTAGCAAATCTGTTGAATTAGTCAGGTATTAAACCATGATATCTAGTGTGCTTTCTAGTCAGTTTGGTCTCATGGAATGTAAGATAAGCTGTGCACTTTGTAAAACAAATGTGAACTGTTATTATTACTACTATTAACTTTCAGCAACATTATTTCCACTCATCCAAAGGCACAGGTTAATAGGCCTGGGACATTTAATAGGGCAGAAATTGAAGAATACCCACCCTATAAATCGTTCAACTAATTCTGATAATAAATCATTCAAACTAGATTTACTAATCATCTATTATGTGTAAAGGACTGTGCCATCTGATTTCAGCTACAACAGAACCTCTATGTCCAATAAAGCCAGTTTTAAAGAAAGAGCAAACACTAACTGATATGCATTGAAAACATTTATTTTACAACAGTAGTTTCAGATAGATAATTTAGCAATCTTTATTTTAGTCGATTTTCAGACATACAATACATAAATTACCATGCTAAACCATAAAATAATTCCTTCGGCTTTAACCTTATGTATGTACAGGAGCTCAGTAGTATCAAGTGTAACAATGCACAAAGTTCTGACAGCCACATCTACTTACATACAATTCAAATTATGGTCCTTTAGTAACATAACAAAATATATGTCTATATATATAATTGCTTTTCAGATGCATTTATACTTGGGTTGGTTTTTTTTCTTCCACATGTCATTTTCCCCATACCCAGAATTGAAATACAATGCAAAAACAAAACACCTTCCCATCACTATTAATTTGATTTATGGCCTGACTTGTACTAAAAAATTAAGAACCTTCTCCTCCCTACAGTTTAGGATATGTAAAAGATCATATAACATCCATTTCCCTTACCCAGTCTCTTCCCCAAAGTTGGGGCATGGAACAAAAGGGAGATAGTAGAACCAGGATTACCTGTTGGACATCTCATCAAAATCACAAAGAAATGCCATGTACTTTTATTAAGGTGACAAGTTAAATGGCTCATGGATCGTGCCAAGAAAAACTGGTTGTTATGTTTGAGGTAAGGGAGGAAGAGGAATAATGGGGGAAGGGAAGCCCTCTAATCTCCCCTATACTTCACATCTTGTGGACCCAGATAGCAATTCACTTATAACTCAAATGTGCTTTGTGCATGGATCTGTTCACACCAGGAGGAACCTTCACGGCCTTGAAGCTATTTTGTGCTCCAGACCAAAAGAAAAGAATGGTGTTAAATGATAATTACTATTATTGCGCCTAATGCAACTCATTTCCAGTTCTTAAAGCCTACCAAATATACTCCAAATAGTAGTTTCTCCCTGTAGGCAGAATGAGCAGCTGGACTATACAGTGAAAAAAGATGGACCTGAGCATCTCCTGTCCCGGGATGCATCTATTCTAATACTGGGAGGAACCCCGAGGAATCTACATGTAAACTAACAGCAGGGGCTCTCCAGTATGTCATGGATTTCTCTCACTCAAGCATTCTATTTACACAACAGGATTGACACATGTATAGCTGTTTCACAGAAATTTAATTTTCCTTCTTTTCTTGAAGCTGGAAGAAACAGTCTAAGGATAGTGTCTTTGCTTCCATTTGTCAAATCAAAAGTTTGAAGAAGTCATGTTAGAATCAAGTTTTATTGTTGCTTTACTACTTAACAGCAACAGTACTGACATGCCTGTTGTATAAATATATACATATACACATATGTACATACATGACAAAGATACACAATATCACAATCTCACACTTACAGCATGTGATTTGAGTCTTGCTTTTTCAAAGACATGAAAATGTATTCATTTTTTGCAAGTACCACAGGACCACAAATTGCAATTAAGGACATTTCTGTGTTTGTGTTCACAGTTTTGAATGTTAGAAATTGGATAAAAGTTATTTTTTATGTCCAGCCTTTCAACTCCATCATTTTAGGAGCCCCCTATACTTACCATTCAGAATTCTTGAAAGTTTGAATTGGCAGGGCAGCTAGGCGACACAGTGGATAGAGCGCTGGCCCTGGAGTCCCTGGAGGCCCTGAGTTCAAATTTGATCTCAGACACTTACCAGCTGTGTGACCCTGGGCAAGTCACTTAACCCTGACTCCCTCAAAAAAAAAGTTTAAATTGCTACCATCTAAATGAAATCTTATATTAAGTCCAATACATAACTGGTCCAAGGGAAGATAAGAGGTTCAAAACTGGATGTAAAACACCAAAAGAAACCACTATTGAGCATAAAACCACAAGGACAGATAATTCAATACACAACAAAAGCAAACACATATCAAGATAAATGAGATAGAAGAGAAGCACCTTTCATTCTAAGTATTACCCTTCATCCTGTAAACTAGTCAGTTTGATTTCCCCTCTCAGTATTAAGCATAAACCCTAGTCACACAGTTGGTGGCACATTGATCTTTTATTTTTAAATGATTTTACATTTTCTAACAGAAAAGTTCATTAAAAATTGAATTGAACTGACTATAGACAAACATAGCTTAGTCTCTTGAGCACAGGATACCCTCTCTCCTTTAGGGATTGAAAAGTTATAGGAAAGCTTTTTATCCTTTCCACATTTTTTTTTTAAATCGGCAGCATGCCTAATCAGCCCTTTCAGAATTGAGGCAATATTGAAAAGATGTGTTTGGTTTCTTTTCCCAAGTCTGAAAGATATGTGGATTTCATGAGGCTTCTGAGTAAGCTTCATTATTTATTTATTTATTCATTCGCTCAATTATTTATTTACTTTTATTTAGGCAATTGGGGTCAAGTGACTTGCCCAGGGTCACACAGCTAGTAAGTGTCAAGTATTTGGTCTACAGTCTGAGCAAGTTTTAGTGAAGCTCCAAAAGGCTGAGTTCCCAGTCAGGTTTCAAGCCTCACAAAAAGTCTAAATTGCAGGAAGTCCAAATACACAGAAGCAATTCCTCTGGGTAAAAAGAGCTCAATCTCAGAAAAGCAGGAAAGAAATAGTCAGATGGGCTTTGTAATAAGATGTGATTATTGATAAAAATTGTCTTCCAGGGAAAATGTGTTTTATCATCATCATTCAACCTCTACGTAGTTTCAAGGCTTCACTTTGCTTTCTGGCCAAATTATTAATTTTTTTTCTAGTAAGGCCTACTTGTACTGCTGGATGTATCCATTTGATTTCAGAGAGCTTAAGAAAAATTAACACAATGAACACAAATATCTGATATAATTTATAAATGTTACAAAGCTCAAAAATAAGACTGCAGATAAAATGGGTTAACATTTCTGTGTAGAAATAGAAAACATGATCAGTTGTTGTCATCAAGATGTTTACAAGTCTTATAAATGGAGAATAAATGAAGAATTTGACATTTTCCTACATCTTATCAAAACAAAATACAAAAAACCCCCCCAAACTCTAAAATTTTGTTTTTATCAGGTGCAAAAGCCATTTAGTTTATTTCAAGAACAATTTTCTTCAAGGTTTTCCTAAAAGCAATGGATTTCTCCTGTAAGATGAATGAGACTAATTATCAGTTGCATCAACTTCAGTACTAGTTATATAAGAAAAGTGGCCTTTAAAAAACAGCTTGGTGTACTCTCTAGAGGCAAGACTGGCAAACACCTTGTTAATATTTATGAGATGATAGAACTACAGAAAGTAATTTTAAAAATTAAATACTATTACTTTAGGGGACATCCCAAGAGTAAATTATCCCCAAAATTTCACATATATATACAGAGAGAGAGAGAGAGAGAGAGAGAGAGAGAGAGAGAGAGAGAGAGAGAGATTGAGAGAGGTCAATTTTGCATTTTCTCAGATCTGACTTCACCCCTGTTGACTTTTACCATAAGTGGATAATAGGAAGATCAAGTTTTTAAAATTTCATAAAGACATACTCATGCCTCAGGAAGCACCTAAGTAACTGACTAGGAAAAAAACTTTTAAAAAATGAGAACTCAAAAGTGATGCTGGAGCGATACACACAAAAAGAGTTAGCTTCTATTTCTGTCTAAATTTTAGGATTTCAAAGCAAGTATTCAGCATGCCTAATAGGCTCCTCCCCATTTAATGTCCCAGGCTCCATCCCAGAACATCAGCCCATTTGTGATGGTTCTGAGCTCAGGGATGCTGGGAGAATCTTGGCACACAATGTTGAAGCATAGAAGCCATTGTTTCCTTAAAATCCTTTGCAAGTAAAAAAAAAATTTGGCGAGAAATTTCTTCAGACATGCCTCCAATCCTGGGAAAAGCTTTACCTTTTAAAGCAATATTCATATAACCTGAACATAAACCTGGCAAACTACTCACTTTGACACATATAGATAAGAGGCTTTTTGAGTCTTCTACAGCCCTCTTTGGGTGATTAAGAATATATATATGTGTATGTGTGTGTGTGTGTGTGTGTGTGTGTGTGTGTGTATATATATATATATATATATATATATATATATATATATATATATATGTATTTTGTTGTTGTTGTTACAAAGGTTGGCTTTCTGGGAAAGGGAGAGAAGAAGACATTTAGAAACGAAAATATAAAAACAAAAGATACCAATAACATTTTTAAAAGGATGACATTAGTTTACTAAATCCATTTTTATAAGACCCATAAAGATCATGTTGAACATGGACCTAGAAACACAGGTTATCAGATAAGTCTCCTTATCATGAACCACAATGGTTCAGTTTTATCCAATAGGCAGAAAGGCTTGGGAGAAGGAGGAAGCCACTCTGTAGCATCTTCAAAGTTGTTAGTAATATTTTTAAACAAAATAAATGAAAAGTGCTTTCTCCTCATTACTGCCAATCCCTGGGCTCAAAGAAATTCACTTCCTTTGTAGTGCTATCACACTATCATCACTTAAAACTAGGCAGTTTCCTACTATGAGAGTTGATTTAAAAGTTTTGAACTTTGTTTTTGGCAACTCTGGAAGAAAATCACTTCTAAAGTGTTTTTTTTTAAAAACAAGTTTAAAACCATACATACTTGTTACCGACTTGGATTTCAAGCTGAATTATTATTTTTAATGGCACAGATCATTTTGTTGTTCCATCATATTCTTTTATTTTCAGAGTGCATGAAATATGAAGCTATCAAAATGGACTTTCCACCTTCTGTAACAGATGTTTAGGGCCTGAAAAAAGGTGAATGTAATTCATGATTACAGCACAATTCATTCAAACATTATCCCTCTTTCACTGTCAATGGAATTATCTATGACCTTACTGCTGGTCACAAAGCTAGATGTCATACATTTTGCCTGCTACTTCCACCTGCTTCCCTCAGAGAGTAACGTGTCAGTGGAGTTATTAATAGCCAACAACCATGCTCTGCAAACCAGTTCCAAATACAGTATTGGTCAGGCTTATACATCCTCAGAAGAAAGTCTGTGCCTCTTACCAGCTATTGCTGCTTTTTTTAAAATGCGAGGTTGGAGCTTTTTATTAGGCTTCTCTCCAAATAAGGAAGGAGGACAGTTTACAGAGAAATATGGGGCTAAGCACAAAGGGGGAAAATGTCTAGATCAGAATTCTCTCTCTGATGGTGTTGTGACAGTCATTATATCATGTCATGTATAAAGTTTATCATGTAATCTCAGATCTAGTTCCTCAGATCTACCAAGAGGTCCAGCAGGCTCATGGGTAAAATAAGTTGTCTAAAGAGTTCATTTTTGGCAAGTCCTAGTGAGGAAAAAAAAAAGCTAGGTTCACCCTGCTTCCAAATTCTACTTAACATTGAAGAAATTTTCAGCTTTAACCATTAGGGACATTGTTTAAAAAAAAAAAACCCAAGAAATCAAGAAACAAAAAAATGCCCCCTAAAATGTAAAAAGGCTTCACAGATTCAACAGGGGCAGTCACTACAATGGATTGTTTTAAATCAAGCTCCTGGGGAGAAAAGCAGCCCAGGGCTCTCTAACCTAGCACATACCAGGCATGTAACTAAGGAAATCTATTATATTCACTTCACACAGAGAATTGCTTAGATACTTTCTGCGAATGGTATCAATTATAACGTCCAGTAAGAAGTAAGGATGGGAAATCTATTCCCTACATAAAAGAAAGTCCATATGAAAATGTGAATGAAAAATGAAAATCAAGACCAATAATTATATAGCATAGTACATCATCGTATGAAGTTCTTTGTTAATGAAGCATCAGGGCCAAACAGTTAAGAAACAGGAGCTGAGAAGAGGAATTTATGATTTTGTTTGTTGGACACCCAATTCTTAGGCCAAAGTAGAAACAAATGTAGTCTATTCTTAATTCTGTCAGTCTTGTTTTTAGCTGACAAGGGCCACTGAACAGGCTTTTCTTTAACCCATGAACTCAGTCTAAAGTTTCAAAATGGGGGAATTGACATGATACCTTCACAGATAGTCACTGATGATTATGGCAAGGCAAACGATAAGGGAGAAAGAGAAACAGAATGAAAACAAGAGGAACAAAGGAAAGGATAAAGGTTTATGTGGTGGGGCTTAGTAAAGAGCTCCATTACAACTTATCCGGGATATTATAATTTGCCTATTGCTATTCTTGACCAAAGAGCTTTGAAGAAAAATTTGGATTGACTTGGCAAGCCTACCAACTAGTTCCTTTAGAAATCTAAAATTATTTGAAGAGAGGCAAAGTTAGGCCAGGGTAACTTTGCAGGTGATTATTTACCAACATTACAATTTACAATGTCTTTGAAGGAGGCCCCTATATCAAGCCTTATAGAAGAAATTCTACGTGTCTTCAACCCTAGAATCTAAACTGGGGAAAGACTTTGTTACTTTAAATTAACTGCTGAAGAGGATCTCCAATGGGAATGATGACTGGAGGAATGTCAAACAAGAAGCAAGAAAGAGGGGGCAGGGGAGAACAAAATTGAACAGAGTAAAAGAATGCAAGGTAATCAATACAGTGTGCATCTAACTCCAGGGTACCTGCTTGGAAGCTGCCAGCTATTCTGACTCTTTACTCTATTGCCCTGTCCTACCCTCACCATTGCAACCCAAACTCCCTGAATCTTTCTTAGAATGGAATCTGTTAAATGCAAATAAAAGCAAGAAAAACACAACAACGATTACACTGTAGAGTAACTGCTGGGATAACAGAAGAACCTTAAAGTAAATTTTAGATACAGAAAACCAGTTTTAAACACTGTGCAAACGTGATTTGGTTTCAATATAAAAAAGGAAATCTTTTTCATTTCCACAGTAAATTTACCTGAGGAGGAAAAAAACCCACAATAATGTACGTAAACAAGGCTGAAGAGATCAGGTACAAACTATATACCACATAAACACAGGGATTATGTCTTCTGAAGAGTCATCTACGTATTTCCAAATTCCTTCATAATCACAGAATCTGGAAGGGACCTCAGAGGTCATGTAATTTAACCTCCTTATTTTACTGATAAGCAAACTAGGGCTCAGAGAGTTTTAGTGACTTGCCTAAGGTCATATAGAGAAGTAGGGGAGTTGGGACCAAAACACAGGTATTCTGACTCTGAGCAAGGAGCTGTTCAACATTTCTGGGGCTTAAGAAAAAAGGTAAGTGTCAAAGAGTAAGCCAGTGTATGAAGGTCAAAAACTGGTAAAGAAGGATAAAATTCCTCTCTGGAAACATCCTTCCATTTTGTCCTAAGTCATACATTGGCTTTAACACAGGTACCGGGAATGTGAACAAGTACTCTTGGTTGAGAACCATGAAATCCCCTTCCTATTTTTTAAAGGTTCTCAGAGCTAAATTGTATGGAAGCAAAAGTGGCTTCAGAGCAATTCTCAATTAAACTTGTAGGTTGAAAAATATGTTTAGGTTGGTACCACTGCTTAGAATGCAGATTGCTTCCATTACTCACTTAATTCAGTAACTCCTTGATACATTTACAACAAAGACATACATAAAACATAACCCCATACATGCGATTAAAAAAAAAAAAGAATAAAGGAAGACCGTAGCTAAACTGCTTTAAATACTGCATGCTACAGCACTTCATGTATCATCAAGATACGACACTGAAGGTGACAGAAAAGGCGGAAGGGATTACAAAATATTCTTGGCAGGTCAGTGTCTGCCCTTTCCCTGTGGCAGGAGTTGTTCCCTCCCCGATCTCTATTTCTACTGTTCATGATTCTAATGTTGATTGGCCAGGTACTGATTTATCCATTCTAATTACAGTGTTTTCTTAACTTAGTTAAATCCATCAGTATGGTAGCTGGGGTGGGAGTCAGTTGTGAGCTGGGTGGTCTCTGTGGCTGATGCTGGTTGTATCACAATAGGTGTGTCTGTAGCCTCTGAAAAAGGGGAAAACACATATACTTTACTGCACTAAGAAAACAAAGGCATACATGAAGCTTTTGTTACAAGACAACTAAATTCCTAACCAGAAACACTCCATTCCCTTTATTAGGAAATGGAATAGAATGATCATTTCAACAAGTCACTATTATACATTATAGTAACATTGTTGCTCTGAGACCAAAAAACTGTCAATTGTCCCCACCCCAATAAATCTTTTTTAATTTCTTGAGTTTTTTTTGGCTACCCATTACTAGAAGTCCACCTTCTCCATCCCTCCCACCCACCACCAGCCTCCAAATTTCCAACCCCACAATTCTACTATTACTACAGAGTCAATGGGTGGGAGACAATTATTTATGTAAATCTGGTCATTCTTGTTTCTATTTTTACCTCAAATTTCCATGTTCACACCTCAAACGTCCCAGCTTCCACCAAAAACACTCCAAGCACAGTATCAATGCCCTCCTGTTTGACAAGATAGTTCAACACTGGTTCAGGGATCATTCTAGCTATTACCCACGCACACACTGGAGGCTGTATCTATTTCATGGGCTGTTAACTGTTAAAGATACTTACCCCTCTCATCAGACTGTAACTGTGCCTCCAAGTCCTCTGGGGAGACATAGTATTCTTGGTCATCACCTTCAGGAGGTTTGGGTTTACACTTTCCACAGCAGCAGTTAAAGCAGCAGCACAGACAGCAGCAACAGTAGCATGCAGTAATGACCCCACAAAATAAAAACAGGGCCTGGGTAGAAGAAAGAGATTTGTGATTGTTTCAACCACCAGATTTAACATATATTCTCATCTCACAAGAGACAAGAGTTTAATGTACTTGAAAAAAAAAATGGCATTTGAGATGTAAGATCAATATAGAACAAAAAGGGAATCTCCTACTCAATCTACTGTACAGTAAATCTCAAGTTATTATAAGAAGTGATAAAAGAAAGAATTCCAAAGACAAGACAAGGAAATAAGAACAAAGCTCATATCAAAATGAAAGAATAATTGCTGATGTCTGACTCAAAGTCTACTCATAACATACTAAAAAAACATTTCTTTTAAGAACTCCAGTGCCTAGCACAGTGCCTGTTTAGTTCTGGGTGATAAAATGGTGACCTGGTTTTATACTAGGAAAAACTCAAGTCTCATTGCAGAATGGCTATCAGACTATGAAGAAAATGAATGTCAAATACAAAGATTTCCATGTCTGAATATTTCAACAGATCTGTGATTTCACACTAACATAGTAATTCCATCCAGTAGTACAGAGGACAACTCATCCATGCCATCTCATTTCATGAATTGTCCATGTTGTCCCAGAAATCATCCTCAGAAAACAAACCCAATATGCTGAAGACCTCCCCTAAGGTCTTTTTTACATTTTGTGTTAATCAGCAGAGCACGTAGGCTGTCCGTATGATCTTTTTTGCCATTCACTCATGTCACTCCTTGAATGTTCGAGGTTCAAGTCTGTGCCCACTATGTCTATCCATTGCCCTTTGGTTTATCTGTAACTTAGAGGTGGTGATATTTCAAAAGATTTGGTGCCATACAGCATGACTATAAGAACTGTTAAAGATGGATATTTGTACTGGGATGCAGCTCGGGACTGTAAAAGCATAATGGAAGTTCCCCAAAGCAAATCCCTTTTCCTCCAATTCAATTCTGTTGTTAATTCATTTGTCCATTTGCAGTGCCTAAACTATTGCAATAAACTTCTATTAAATCTGACCATTCCAAGTCTCTCTCCTCACGCCAATCCATTCTTTATACAGGTATCCAATCGGTTTTTCCTAAAATGCAAATCTGACCATGTTTTTCCCTCTACCCAATAATCTCCAGTGGCTCCCTGTTATATCCAGAATTAAATATAAACCAATTTTTTCAAAAAGGGTGTTTAAAGTCTTTTTCAACCTGACCCCAACCCACCTTTTCAGTCTTATTCCTGTTATTCCCATGAACAATGTGATCCAATCATACTGACCTTCTTGCAATTACTCATATACAGCATTTCATCTTTCAACACCATGCCTGTGCACTGGCTGTTCCCTATACCTGGAATGCATTTTTATCTATCATCTTCATCTCTCAGAATCCTAATTTTCCTTCAAAGACCAATTCAAATACCATCTTCCATATGAAAACTATCATGATCCCTCAAGGTGCCTTTCTCTCACAATCTATTGTGTATATAGCCCGTGTTTATTTATATATTTACATGTCTTTCCCTTCTAAAGGCAGGGATGGTTTTCATTTTTATTTCTGTATCCATAGTGCCTGGCATAGTACCTGGAACATAGCAGATGTTTAATAAATGCTTGCTAACTGATGTATTGATCTACTAACTCACTGGGCTGGCCACTCAAATGCACGTCACTGTCTGAACAATAAATAACAAGGAATTTAAAGGATCTTAAAACATGCACTTGACTTTCCTTGTTGGAAGAGAGCCTTTAAGGCTAGGTCATGCTGGTGAGTCAAATGCTTACCTTTTCTTTTGGAATCTACCAATATGTTGCAGGATCTTGTATTTATTTGCTTCACCATTTACTTGTGGCTGAAAAGATGTGGTTTGCTGTAGAGGATAATATGCAAAAGCCATCGTGTTTCTCTCTCATTGTACTGAGAACACACCATATGCATCAGTGTCATAAAGATCAGAAAAGAAGGCATATGGGTCTGTAACTACTGACATAGGTGCTTAAGGAGTATATCCAGGTGGAGACACTGAACAGGCAGTTGGAGATGTGGGACCAGAGCTCAGAAGAGAAATGAAGGCTTAATGTGCAGGCTTGGGTGTCAATGGGATAGAGATTATAGCTGAATTCATGAAGGCTCATGAGATCACCAAGAAAGTATAAAGGTAGAAGAAAAGGCCCAGGATAGAGCCCTGAGGTACACATTCATGCATAGGGATAAATATTGATCATAAACCTGAAAAGCAAGGTTGAGTTATAGAAAGGGAAAAGTGGTGAGAGGACAAGGGGGCAAACAATTAAAGAACAAAGATAAGCTGAGCTAGTTAACTGACCTAGTTAACAAAGGTCAAGATTTTGCAGGGTAGAAAGTGAGTCTGGAGTAGGAGTGAGATAAAAGGAGAGCTAGATGAGAGGTCTGGGGCTAGATGGCTTCTATGTTCCCTTTCCAGTTGTAAATCTGTGATGTTATGATAGCAGAATATGTCCAGATACAGACATTTTTATAGACTGCAATAGTGCAAGACTTGTGGGTGACTAAAAGCAAAAGTATCACCATCACAGTATGAGCACTGAGTATAGGGATAAAGAAAGGCATTGGGGAAGAGTCTTGAAGGAAATTAGGGATTCTAAAAGGCAAAAATAAGAAGGGAATGCATTCCAGGCATTTGGGACAACTTGTGCAAAAGTACAGAGGTTACAGATGGAATATTGTATGCAAGGAATAACAAAGAAATCAGTTAGACTCACATGTATATGTTGAGGGAACATAATATATGAGGTATGGGTTTAAAGCAGGTTGAACCCAGATTGTATAGGGCCCAAATGAGGAGTTTTTATTTTATCCTAGAAGTCCCACAGCTGCTGAATAAAGATTCTTGAGAAAGGTAGTGACATAGTCAGATCGTCAGTTTAGGAAGATTGTTTTCGCAGTTGCGTAGAAGAAGGGATAGATTTGACATAGGCAGACCAAGTAGGACTCTATTATAGAGCCTCAATAAGGGCACGATCTATGTGAGTTGAAAGGAGACAGGTGGAAGAGACACTGTAGAGATAAAAATGAAAGTGACCTGCATAGAGAAGAAAACTGAACTGATGGGAATTGATAAGATCATCAAAAGTGGAATATAGAGAAAAGGATTGCTACGATTATTTTACTTTGGTTGATTTTTGGAGGGAATAGTGATAATAATCAAGTTCCACTTCTTTTTCCATTCCCAATTTTCAGTCTATTTTAGCCAATTTCATTTTTTGAAAAGCAGCATGATACAGTTGAAGTAGGGCAGGGAGGCATCTTGATTAGCAACCTGCATCTCACACTTCCTAGCTATATGACCATGAGCAAGTCCCTTAATTTCACTGAGTATACCCAGATATAAAACAGGGATAACCATCTATGATAGGACTATGAAGATCAAAGAAGATCACCTAAGAAAAGCACTTTGCAAACTTTAAAAGTACCAAAAGCGTTGGTTGCTACTATTAATGTGATTGCTCTCAGGAACTTCTGATTCTTTTCTGAAAGAAAGTATTCATGATACAGACATATAAGACTGCTGAACAATCTATAGACCTTAGGCCTCCTTATTTTAGCAAATCTGAGACTTGTTTTTAACACTATTTTTCACCATTTCTCCTTGTGCCTACCTTGGCATTAAAGTTACTGAGTATGAAAATACGATGATTTGGTTTAAAGGATCTTGTCAAAGTTCTTCACAGAATTTCTCTAGGTCTTTATGCTTCACAATAGATGTGAATCTATAAACTTCAACTATTCCACTTTGGTCTTTGTTTATATTTACCATGTACAATGAAAAATGACCAACTGTTCCGTAATTGTCTTCAGACACATAAAGAAACCAACTCTGTTAACTCTTTCGTCTGTCTCTCTAAAGAGGATGTATGAACCATACTCTCATTTAACAGTAACTTTCTTTGAAAAGCTCTCTAATTTCCTTTATCATGAGGATATCTACCACAGGATGGTAGTTTTTGAGGGACTTTAGAAGTCATTTGGTCCAACTCTTTATTTTAAAGATTAACAAATTGAGGTACAAAGAAATTAGATTTGTCTGAGATCACCAAGGCAATGAGAACTAGCTGTGATTTGACTTCAAATCCAGCACTCCTGAGTTGGTCTAGCTGGTCACTGGACACAGATTTAATATTTAGGATAGCTACAGTTGATGTTTTTAGGGGTAGGGGATTGGCTCCTTTCTTTTAAAATATCTAAGAAACGCCTTGTTTTTAGCTCACTCTCAATACTAATAAATTCCTCTCTCCTACCCAAAGAGCCATTCCTTAGTAACAAAAAACAAACAAACAAAAACACTCAGAAAAAAAAGCTTTTTTTTTAAAATAAAAAAGCACTCAGCAAAACTAACCAATGCACCAACTGAGTCTAATAGTATATACAATATTCTACACCTACAGTCTTTCAATGAAAATACCCAAGCTTGGGCCCAAAGAAGAAATATGAAAATGTACTTCTCTCCCTTCTTTGCAGAGGTGGAGGATGTTGCCTGCATTGCTGGATGCTGTTAACACGCTGATAAGTTTTGATGAAGTGTTTTCCCCTTCCCTCTTTCGTTCTTTGTTGTAAGGGATGATTTTCTATTTTAGCTTTGTTTTGGCTACGCAATGAGGTTAAGTGATTTGCCCAGGGTCACAGAGCTAGTAAGGGATGATTTTCTGGATGAGGGAGATGTAAAATCAAAAAGTTTCAATAAAAAATTTAAAAGGATGATACAGCATTCGGCTTCCTTTTCTTTGATCTTCCCATTTACATTTTCCTGCAGTCAATTTTTATACAAATGACCCATCTGTAAAATTCTTGCAATCCAATGTTTTTAAACTAATTATAACAAAACACAAAATTATATAAACAATTTTAGAAAACCCCAAAGAACACCCTGAATAGAAGAGTCTCTCTGACACTTTTAAAGGAAGCATATTCCTCTCACCTTTGCCCACCAGCTGGATAGCACAAAATAGGTATTCACGTTCTCTTCCCCAAACTGCTCAGCTACATAAAGGCCCAAAGAGCCATATTTGTCATATATGTTTCGTTTTGTGGCATCAGTTAATATTGCATGTGCATTGTTGATCTCTTTAAACTTGTCTGCAGCTTCTGGGTTATCTGGATTCTTGTCAGGATGATATTTCAATGCAAGCTTCCTGCAAACAAAAAGATTTTTGTCCATTTAAATTTAGTTTCCTGCTCTTTCATTTTTCCATGTATTCATGTGGCACAACAGTCAATACAAGAAAACCTTTTTCATTTATTTGCATCTGTATTTCTACCTTCACATTCTTAAACAAGAAAAACAACTGGGACATAAGAATTTTCCTATAACAACAAATCTAGCCATGCTCAAGGAGCTATGGAAAGATCAGCTGAATGTTTGCCTTGCTGTATATACTTTGTTTCTCTTATACTATATAAAATTTACTTACAGAAACAGTGCCATAACTTCATTGTTATGAAATACTGGGAGACTTCTCTAAGAAAACTACAAAGCCTACTACTGACCTCTAGTGTTCCATTTAATTTACTGAATATTTAAAAAAAACCCCCAAAACAACCTATTAAAAACTTTTTATATCATGTAATTTATATCTGCTTGCCATTAACTATTCTAACACTTAAGATGATCAAATGAGAATACTAAGACGACTGGTTATGTGGAAGGTCTGAATGTTTTAAACAATTTTCCCATAAACCCAAGGAATCCTTTAGGTTTAAGTGGTTGAGGTAAATACAATGTACAAAAATTAAGTGACATAGATCAAGAATCTGCTGGTCAATCAGTACATACACGCTCATAGAGAGACAAAATTATGCATTTTTTACTTACCATGGATGACAAAAGAAGTCCTATTTGCTGCTTCTACTACTACGGCTACGAGTACTACTATCACCTAATCAGCAGTGAGTTTATTTACTTTCTATTGAAAAGAACTGAGTGAAAACAAAATTTTCATAAGTAAAATGTATGAAAAAGGAGGCTACATGGAAGTGAACACATTTTTTAAAAGAAGCCTACTAAAAATGGTCACACTGTTAAAAGCATACATGGCACATTTTTTTCCAGGTTCTTCTTTTTCAATGTTTTACTGCTACTCTTTTTTAAAAGAGCACTCTCACTTCTCAATAACTCTTTCCTGCTGCCCCTCCCCTGAAACAAATAAGTACAATCGAAAACATCAAATCAACATACTGGCCATATTTGAAAATGTATGTGTCCATGTTCTTCTTCTCAGAGTACTACATATATATCAAAGACTAAAAAGGAAGATCTTTAAATATATTTATACTTTTCTTTCTTTCTAAAGGATTGCTTTAGAAATCAACAGTTTCAGGGCAGCTAGGTGGTGCAGTGGATACAGCACTGGCCCTGGAATCAGGAGGATCTGAGTTCAAATGTGGCCTCAGACACATGATACTCACTAGCTGTATGATCCTGGGCAAGTCACTTAACCCTGACTGCCTCACACCTCCCCCTCCCCCCCCATAAAACCAACAGTTTTGCATTTGATAATGCACAAAATTCTGCAAGGTACTACTTTTCCCTTAGGAAAATGTAAGAATATAAATTTTAAATATTCTAGGAAATAAGCACTTTTATAACTGCAAATACAAAATCCAAAATAAAATTGTCACCTATAAGTTATAAATTGTTTTTAAAGAAAAGTTGGACATCTGAAGAAAGAGCCTTTTCCTACGTTGTACCCAACTAAATCCAGATCTAAACACAATGATTTAGCACTATATAGCCACCTAAATGAATTTCCAAAAGCTAAAATTTTCTTACCTATATGATTTTTTTATATCATCTGAGGTTGCATTCTTGTCCAACCCAAGAACATGGTACAATGATTCTCCAGAGGTAGAAAGTGAACGCTGTCTCTGGTCTGCCATTTTATGCTAATCTGCAAAACATATTTTATTAAAATACAACACTGAGAAATCGTCCAAGTAGTTTGTAATGGTTAGCTTTGTAACAAAGATTCATATCCAAAGCTCACTTTTAAGATTAACATTCCAACTACTACAAAAAGTTGGTAGAAATGGGTTTTCTCCTAAGATAATAAAAAGATGTGAAGTCACTAGATAGCAAACTATAAACCTGGTTCAGCATTAAAGCTGATTATTTTGCAGTTCCCACTTCTCCATAAGAAACTTGTATTTACTCTAGCATATCTAAAATTTTAAGAAATCATAAAAAGTTACTTGAAACCTAATACTCAAGATAAGAATGCAACATACAATAAAATTAGTTTGTATCTGTTTAACTCTTTGGATGGCACAAAACTGAGACAAAATTCTCATAGCCCTGAACTTAAATTAGGCTGAAGATAGGCTAAGAGTAGTGAAGTAATGTACATTTATTTCCTGAAGTCAGAAAGATCCAAGTTCAACCCAGGCTTTCACACACTTATTAGCTGTATGACCCCAAGGAAGTCAGTGCTTTGCAAATATACATACATAAACACATGTGTAGATATACATATATACAAGTTGTTATTATTATCATTATTTCAGTCAATGAGTTATTGATGCACTGAGAGGTTAAGTGCCTTGCTCAGGGTGATATTGCCAGTACATGTCAGCAATAAGGCATGAAGCCAGGTTTTCAGGACTCTCAGGCAAGTTCTCTATTCACTACTGCTTTAAAAACAAAATAGTCTTTGTTTCTAACTAAAAAAAAATGACTAAATTACAAATTCATGGTACATAACCTTAACCTGGCTTTTTTCCCATTGAACATTTTTTTCTATTCTACTCTCATTTATTACTTCCTCTTACTTTCCATACTAATTGTTCCTAATCCCTCCTCAAACCCCTAACCATACCGCACCCCCTAAACACTTAGAAAAGATTACCTAACCTGCTATTTAATAAGAGATTAAGGCCCCAAACAGGAAGTTCTTCAATTTCCTTTCCCCAAACTTAGTAGCATCATATGACTTATTCTCTTCTGTTTCAAAAGAGATGTATTCCTACTCATGTTTAGGTTAATTAACCCTTGCTTCTCTGCCCTTGATCCATTCCCTTCCTTCCTATAAAAAGCTTCACCAAGTATCTCTATTGTCCCCTCTGCTAGCATATTCCTTTCCATCTAAGAATGTGCTGAAGTCTACCAAATCCTTAAAAGCTTCATTTAGCCCTTCTAAACTGCAGTCATAACTAACTCCAATCTAAAAGCATTTAGTAAGCACCAACTACATTTGAGGAAGTGTGCTAACCCCAGGAGATACCAAAGAGAAATGCTTCATGCCCCCCAAAATCGAGGAGGGGGCGCTTACATTCTTTCTTATGTTCCTTACCAACTGGAGGCCATCTTCACTATTTGAATGAAATTCATAGCCATTTTCCTTGACCCCTGTCACTGTATTTGGAATGAGTCATATCCTGAGCCACCTCTTTTCTAAAGTTTATTATGAATTTCAATAACAACTGATATATTTCAAAAATTCATTTCAATATATTATAACTATCCTTTAGCTTCTCTACATCTCCCCTCTTAAATGTTACCAATGACTAAATCACCAAATTCAAAGGCAAGAGAATTGGTTGTTCTTCATCCTCCCCTTACCTTGCTGGAACATTTAACATGGTTGAATTACTCTCTCTTTTGGGATATGTTTCTTCCTCAACATCACTTTCCTTGTTCTTATCCAACCTTTCAAACCACCTGCTCTGGCTCCTCTTCCTGATTCTTTAAGGTGGGTGTTTTTCTAAGGTTCTGTCCTCTGCCTTCTCTTTCTATATCCTGTCCCTTAGTGATCTCATTTATGCCCATGGCATCACCTTTTTAGCAGGTGAGCTCAGGTTCTGCACCTCCAAATGCGTATACAAGCAAGCTCTGCCTGCTAGCATCTCAAACGCAACATGTCAGAAAACCAATCATAACATCTTTCCAAAATCCTTTTTGCTCTATTTTCTGATTTTACTATTTCTGTTACTGAAACAGTACAACCATATCTTTGTCCCAAGTTTTGGAATTTTGGTGTTCACTGATGCTTCACTCTTTCACTTCTCATAGAAAGTTATTAAATCCTATTTGAGGCAGCTACGTGGCCCAGCAGATAGAGTGCTGAGCCTAGAAAGACTCACCTTTCTGAGTTCAAATCTGGCCTCAGGCATTAGCTGTGTGACCCTGGGAAAGCTGCTTAACCTTTTTTGCCTCAGTTTCCTTACCTATAAAATGAGCAGGAAAAGGAAATGGCAAACCACTCCAGTATTTTGCCAACAAAACCCAAAAAGGGGTTGAGAGGAGTCAGACACGAGTAAAACAACTCAGTAACAACAAAAAGTCCTATTTTCTGCAATACCATTTTACATTATTCCTAATTTCCACAGCCACTACCTTACTGCATTTTTTGGGGAACTGAATTGTTATTTCATTGGTATAGAGTGGCCAGTGCTAATTATGAGCAAAGCACTGTGCTAAATGCTAGGGATATCAAGGAAGGGGAAAAAATGGTTTCTGCCCTAACAAAACGCATCTTCTAATGGGGGAGACAACATGCAAATAACCATGCATCTAAGACATACAGTGCAAATGGAAGGTAATTTCAAGGAAGGCACTGGGAGTGGAAAATGTGAAAGCCTTCCTGCAGAAGGTAGGATCTGAGCAGAGTCCTGAAGGCCAGTATCATTGCATCAAAGTATAAGACCAAGAAGGTAAGAAGGGAGACAGGTTGTAAAGGACTTTAAATCCCAAACAAGATTATATATTTGATCCTTGAAGTGACAGAGAGCTACTGAGTTGGGGGAGGGGTAAACATTGTCAGATATGTGCTTTAGAAAAATCACTTTGGCAGTTGAGTGGAGGAAGGATCACACCGGGGAAAGGCTTGAGGCAGGGAGACCAATTAGAAGTCTAATGCAATGACTGCACATGTATGATCTACATCAAATTGCTTGCTTTCTTGAGGAGGGGGGGCGGGAGGGAGGGAGACAATTTGGAACTTAGAATACAAAAAAAAAAGAATTAAAAATTGTTTTTGCATGTAATTGGAAAAACCCCCCCAAAAACAAGTCTAATGCAATAGGAAAGATGTGAAATAATGACAGATTGTAACAGTTGTGGTGGCTATGTGAGTACAATGAAGGGATTTATTATGATAGTCTCTGAAGGCAGAAATGATTAGACCTGGGAACAGAATAGACATGTGGAGTTAGTGCAAGAAAAGAACTGAATAGAGGCACATAGGTGGGCGCAGTGGATAGAGCACCGGCGCCAGAGTCAGGAGGACCTGAGTTCAAATCTGACCTCAGACACATAACACTCACTACCTGTGTGACTTTGGGCAAGTTACTCAACCCCAACTGCCTCACCAAAAAACAACAACAACAACAACAACAACAAAAACCAACCAAAAAACCAAAAACCTGAATATAACCCCAAAGTTGTGAGAATGGATGACTAGGAAGGTAGTAGTGCTCTCAAAAGTAACTGGAAAAGTTTGGAAGAGGAAAAGGGTTTGGAAGGGATGATAATAAGTTTCAGATGCCCACAGAATATTTAGTTTGAGATATCCAAAAGACATCAGTGATATGAGACGAGAACTTAGAACAGAAGTCAGGGCTGTATATATAGAACTTAATTGCAAAAAGATGATAATTGAATCTATATGAGTTAATGAGATCATCAAGTGAGATGATATGAAACAGGGGTTAATTTTATTGTGTCATGGATCCCTTTGGCAGTCTACTAAAGTCTATAGACCCCTTTTCAGATTCTTTTAAAATTAAAACATAAACAAAATATAGGTTTACAAAGGAAGCTAATTCTAAGTGTATGTGTGTGGAGGGGGGGGGGAGAGAGAGAGAGAGAGAGAGACTGATTTGAAAAGAGGGTCAAGAAAAAACCCTTGGGTACTGAGTTGGATAAAGATCCAGCAAAGGCGGCTGAGAAGAGAGAATCAGAGAGGAGGAGAACCAGGAGTGAGTAGCAGCATGAAAACCTACAGAAATGAGAATATCTAGGAGGTGAGCCACAGTGTCACATAGCTAGCATGTCAGAGGTGAGACTGGAAATCAATCTCTTTGATTCTGAAATTGGCTCTCTCAATGACGCCAATACTTTCACTTAGTATGTACAGATCCTTATTACTATCCACTTACCTGGACTATTACAATAGCCTTATAACATGTCTTTTCCAGGTCCATTTTCTCCCCTTCTCCAACCTTTCTTGCTATCAGGCTAATCTTCATACACAGATCTGGTTATTTCACTCCTCTGTTCAAAATCCTCCAGTGGCTTCCTATTGCCTGAATAAAATTAGAACTCTTTCTGGCATTCAATGCTGGTACCACTAAATCTACCTAGCCTCATCTCATACTACTGCTCCTTTTCATACATTATATACTCCAGCCAAAAGGAATTATTTTTTATTTATTTTTTATACCTGTCTGTTTTTTTCTGTTTTTATTCAATATATTCTATGCTTAGAATGTGCCTCTCTTCTAAATTTCTATAAATGCTTTAAACCCCACCATGAAGTAGGCTCCCAATTCCCTGTTAGAAATGACTGCACCTTCAGTACCTGTAAGAATTTAATAATTTTTAAAAAATCTGCTGTGTTGAATACTGAATCAACTATAATCTGAAATGCCTAGGTAATTTTAAAGTCACCCTCTTCTTAAACATCTCTGTGGTAAATACTATGTACAGTTTTGTCACTACATAGTTACTCCTCTGAATAGCTAGTAGCAGATTCCTATGCATAGGCATGTTGTAACCAGACCTGCTTTGATGATCAACACTTTCACAAAAACAGCCATTAACATATTATAAACAAACCATACTCTGAAGTTGCAATAATGTATTGAAAAGTAATTTAGTCTACTGCCTATGTAACCATATTCGAATGGAATGTTTTAGGAACAAGTACTCTAACATGTTTTTAAAGACCAAGAA